AAAAAACAGTGTAATTATCCCCATTTAACCAACTGGTTTCAAATTGACAAATAACAATTGCATATATTGATTGGGTATAATATGCTGCTTTAAAATATATCTCCATCATGCTTACTAATTTTTATGGGAGAAACATTTTAATTACCACCACTGATCTGATTATTTAGACATCATTCATTCATTCATGTATTCTCTAGTGTTTCCTAAGATCCTGTTAAGAGCAAGAAGTGCTGGAAAGGTTAATGCAGACTAATGGACTGGCATCATCTTCCATGCCAAGCAGCTGGGGTTATCTCTTACACACTTGGGAGTATTCTATTATTCCTATTTTGGAATGAGAGCCATTGGAAGTACAAGAGGCAGGCTGGGTAGGGAGATAGTGAGGTAAGGGCAGGATCTGGAAGAGCCAATAAGCCTGAACTGTCTATAATAATTTGTCTCATATGCAGAGAGGTCCAGTAAAATAAAAAATGTAAGACATAGTCATTATCCTTTGCATTAACTTTTATAGATACACTTGATTTGAATGACTACCTAGGAAATAAAGAGAACCATTAGTGTCAACATTAGATAAGGCACTGACATAAAATAGATGGGCATGCCAGATGGGCCTGTAATTCCAGCTACTTTTGAGGCCAAGAGGCAGGAGGATAACAAGACTGAGGCCAGCCTGGAAAACATAGCCAGATGCCATTTCAAAAAACCACCAAAAAACAAAACAAAACAAAACCCAAGGTACTTTATGAGAATTTGAAGCAGAGGGAGAAATGGTAGCTAAGAAGAGTTCAAATATACATAGATGTATCATTCTTCTTAGTTCTGGGATAAACCAGGTGTACTTGATGACAAAAGCGACAGTATAGATTCTTCATTAGTTGTACATATGATGGTCCAACAAGAAGAAAAAACGAGCACCAACTAGGAAAAGGTCACAGAATTGGAAGACTGGTAGATGATGCTATCATCACCTTTAAGGGCTTTCTTTAGTAGATTTGGGAATGGTTACCATTTAGCCAATTCCTAAACTAACCTCTTTCTCCCTGATTTCCTGTAACACTTAAATGACTTCCATGTCTAAGATGGAATAATTGTCATTACAATGTGAACACCAATCTAACTTATATTGTCTACTGTGCTCATAAATACATGGAAGCCAAAAAGATCCTTCAAAAGATCTTTTAGGAGCCAACCATTGCTGGCTCATGCCTGTAATCCTAGCTACTCAGGAGGCTGAGATCTGAGGATCATGGTTCAAAGCCAGTCCAGGCAGGAAAGTTCATGACACTCTTACCCCCAATTAACCAAGAAAACTAGAAGCAGTGCTGTGGCTCAAAGTGGTAGAGCACTAGCCTTAAGCAAAGAAGCTCAGGGACAGCAGCCAGGCTTCTTAAGCTCAAGCCCCAGTGTTGGCAACACACACACACACACACACACACACACACACACACACACACACACACACACACACACACACACACACACACACACACACACACACCAAAAAACTCTTAAGAAGATCATATGGTCATATGGTCTTGGCATATGGTCTGGTCCAAATCCCCATTCGGTCTATTATACAGCAATTAGCTTTCAAAAAAGTTAATAGAGCTAAATATAGAGTAGATTTTACTCTCACCAAATAAGATAAGTGGTATTCCTTTGAAAAGCAAGAACAGCGTCTTTCTTCCTGACCTACCTATTTTAGACTCTTAGATTCTAAGCTTTGAGTCATACTGCACTCATTCAAAAGATGTATTAGAAAGTAATTGAGAAATTCTTAAAGCAAGAAACACATTTTCAGATCTTTAAAGGCATTTATTAGTTGAAAATGAAGCTCAAGTATGTATTAAATGTGCACAGGTATTGTGATAATATAAAATAGGTAAGAAATTAGGTGGCAGTTCCATGAATACTCCATGTACAAATTCATTGAATGGAAAATAGGCTGAAAATTCACCTCAAAATGTCATTATAAAGTGTGAAAGATTTCCATCTGGAATTCAGATATAAGATATAAGTTTCTTTAGAAAAAAGAAACTCACTGGTGTTGCTCCAAAGAAAATTGAAATGTTTTTCTTAGGTTAGTATGTGTGGCTGAAATAAATACTTCAAAAGAGAATTCATGTTTAATACAGTTCTGTTTCACATTAAACCTCATTTATCTACTTAGTTACTCACTCATGCTCATATTCATTAAATCACTTTTTTTTATTGTGAAAATACCCTACAGAGGGGTTACAATTACATGGGCAAGATAATGAGTACATTTTCTTTTTTTTTTCCAGCACAACTATGTTTATTTAATGAGTATATTTCTTATCAAGCATTGTTGCCTCCTCCTTTGTTTCCTCTTCCCATCCCTTCCCATCCTCCCTTCCCCCACAGCCAAAGTTGTAAAGTTTGTTTTTTTGACATAACATCTTGTACATCTCATTTGGGTCCACCTGTATCCCTATTTAAACAATTTGTTTTTGCCCTTTCCCTCCCCAAATTATACCAACATCAAATACAGTGAAAACAGGGGTTATACCATGGTGGAGGGACATACAAAACAACAAAGAAATCATCTTATAAATATGTTAGAAACAATCACAAGAAAGAAAAAAAAAACATTTGAATCCTTATCTTGGGGTTCATTTCGCCTAAATCAACTTATCTGATCGTTTCTGCTTGTCCCAGACATATACTAGTAATTACAAAGAAGGGAAACCATGGGACCTATGTTTCTTTGGACCTGGTTTACTTCACTTAATATAATTTTTTCCAAGTCTTTCCATTTCCTAACAAATGGAGCAATGTCATTCTTTCTGATGGAGGCATAGAATTCCATTGTGCATATATATCACATTTTCTTGATCATTCATCTACTGAGGGGCATCTGGGTTGGTTCCATATCTTAGCTATGGTAAATAATGCTGTGATAAGCATAGTTGTGCTGGTAGCTTTAGTATGGTCTTATTTGGATCATCTGGGTAAATGCCCAAAAATGGGATTGCTGGGTCATAGTGGAGCTCTATGTGGAGTCTTTTGAGGAACCTCCATACTACTTTCCAAAGTAAAGTTCCCTTCTGTCCACATCCCCTCCAGCATCCATTGTTATTAGAGTTCTTGATTATAGCCATTCTAACTGGGGTGAGGTGGTATCTCAATGTTGTTTTGATTTGCATTTCTTTTATGGCTAGGGAGGTTGAATATTTCTTCATGTGTCTATTGGCAATCTTTCTTTCCTCTTCAGAGAAGTTCCTCTGTAAGTCTTTAGCCCACTTATTTATTGGGCAGTTGTTTCTTTGAAGATTTTTGTTGGGGGATTTAATTTTTTGAGTTCCAGGTATATTTTAGATATGAGACCCTTGTCCGTTGTATGGTTAGTGAAGATCTTCTCCCAACCTGTGGGCTTTCTGTTGATCTTGCTAGCTATGTCCTTTGCCATGCAGAAGCTCTACAATTTCATGCAATCCTATTTGTCCAACCTTTCTTTGATTTGTTGTGTTTCTGGGTCTCTATTAAGAAAATTTCGGCCTGTGCCAAGGAGACCTAGGGTTTCTCCTATTCCATCCTGTAATGTTTTCAGAATGTCTACTTTGACTCTGAGGTCTTTGATCCATTTGGAGTTGATCCTGGTGCAAGGTGATATATAAGGTTCTAGCTTTAGTTTTCTACAAATGATTAACCAATTTTGCCATCACCATTCACTGAAGAAGCTGTCTTTCTTCCATTCTATTTTTTTAGCTCCCTTATCAAAGATTAGATGGCTATAGGTCTGTTGGTTCATTTCTGCATTTTCAATTCTATTCCATTGGTCTTGAGGTCTGTTCTTGTGCCAGTACCAAGCTGTTTTGATTACTATGGCCTTGTTGTAGAGTTTGAAATTTGGTATTGATATTCCTCCAGCACTGTTTTTTCTGTTAAGGATCGTTTTTGCTATTTGGGGTCTTTTATTGTTCCATATAAGTTTTTGGATTGCCTCTTCTATTTTCTGGAATATTGATAGGTATTGCATTGAATCTGGACATAGCCTTGGGAAGCATTGCCATTTTCACGATGTTGATCCTTCCAATCCAGGAGCATGGGAGTTTTTGCCACTTTCTAAGTTCTGTTTTGATTTCCTTTTTCAGGTTTTTAAAGTAGAAAATGCTATTTCTTTTGCATACCAAATAACTTATGTCCTGCTAACATGGTCGTACATTTTAGTCTCATTTTTTTTAAAAAAAACTTTGTAAAGTTTTAGCTTCTAACTTGCTAATTTTGATTTCTAGTAATATCCATTCTTAGTTTATTATCTCTATAAATTTTTAACTGCAGCTATCATTTTTATTGCTCTCTTTTGGGTAAAGAATATTACCAGAGTGGCCCTTGAATCTCACTAAAGATTAGAAAGACATTTCACAGGTCTCACAGTGCTCCTTAGGTGATCTCCTTTCTGTTTCTTGACCATCCCTATAGATAATAATGGAGTTCTCAATTTACTGAGTCCCTGTCTAAGTAAAAAGAACTTTGTTCAGAAGTGTGATGTGCACAGAATAATTCACATGCCCAACTCTGACCTAATTTTCTGTTAAAAATGTGAGTTGTAGCTCTTCTGTTCCTGTTCCTGCCCTTTAGACTTATCTACCTAATTCCTATCTCCATGGGCCCTTACATTAACTCATGTTCCCAGGGCACTTTCCCACTTCAGGCCCTCTTACAGATAGATATGTTGCCTTGAGCAGGTATTGGGAGGAAGTCAGTTCTGGCCTTGGAGCAAGGGTGCTGAGTCAGTTATGCCAAGAGAGGTTTCCTAAATGGTATTTTATATAACCTCCCTAATATTAATGAGGAATAAAAACATACTGCTTAGATATAATTATCAAGTGGCTAAGACTGTGACTGGGTGGTAGAGTGCAAACCTACCATGTGTGAGGTCCTGTGTTTGATCTCTAGAACCATAAAACAAGCATGCAAGAAAACACATAAGCAAACAAAAAAATTATAGATCTAAAGTAAATATATGTCTTTTTCCAATGTAAAAATACATTAATTTTAAGGGGGGAAGGGTTTGGCACAACTTGAAATAAACCAGAAAACATCTTTACATTAATCAATCTTCTCGTATACTTCGAATTTGTACTTAATGCCCTTTTCCTCCTGGACCTCAGAAAACACACTTGGGTATTCTGGGAGAAGTTTATATTTTTCCAAATCAATATCTGGGAAAAATGTGTCACTTTCAAATTCCTGTATGACCAGTGTCACAAATAGTTTAAGATGGCCTGGCTGATTCATGGCTTCCTTATAAACAAAACTGCCTCCTGCTATCCAAACCATGTCTACTTTATTGTTTAATTCTGGTTGCTCAATAGGTTTTAAGGCTTCATCTAAACTTTTGGCCAAAAAATGAGCTCCTTGTGGGGGTTCCTTGAGTTCTCTACTAAGAACTATATTAATTCTGTCCTTTAAAGGTCGATTCTTCTCAGGAATGGAGAACCAGGTTTTCCTACCCATAATCACCAGATTCTGTTTACCTTCTACTGTAGAGGTTGTGGTCATTCTTTGGAAATACTTGAATTCTCTCCTGAGTGGGGGCCAGGGGAGGTCGCCATTTTTGCCGGTGCCCATGTGCTGGGACACGGCTACGATGCAGTTCAGCGGGCACAATGCAACAGCATTCGACTCCAAGCTTTTAGGGCACACCTGGTGTACACCACGGGTTTGGTGCGAAAATTCTCATTAACTCACTCTTAACCTAGTAAGAGCTTATTGAGTACTACACCAAGTGTAAAAAGCTGTATTTTTTACATTGTGGGAATGTAAAAGCTGCATTTATAAAGCAAGAACAAGCTGGTGCGGGTGGTTCATGCCTGTACCTTGCTACTCAGGAGGCTGAAATTGGAGAATCGTGGTTCAGAGCCAGCCTAAGAAGCAGTCTGTGAGACTCATCTCCAGTTAACCACCAAAAAGCCAGAAGTGGGGCTGTGGCTCAAGTGGTAGAAATCTAGCTTTGAATTAAACAAAAAAAAAAAGTCCAGAGACAACACTTAGGCCCCAAGTTCAAGCCCCAGGACAAGCACACATACACACAAAAAAAGCAAGAACAATGTCTTTCTTCCTGACCTATCTATTTTATACACTTAGATTCTATGCACTCATTTAAAAGAATAAATCCATATTACATTCATCTGAAGCAGAATGAATTCAAAATATTAGAAGAGCTTAAAAAGTAGCTAAAAAGTGCTTAGGATCTGCATTGAGCTATAGCTTTCTCTGATATAATTCAGAATGGGATAAATAAAAGGTCCATTTTAGAAATTGATGGCGTAGTAAAAATCAAATTGAGAATAGCAATCAATTTGGAGACTATCCAGTGAAGAAACTATCAGAATATATGAAAACAATACTTCTTTCAATCAGTGAGAAGTAGTATCTGTTCATCAATTCCCTGTGCTTTTCCTTTATTCCTTTAAACACACTCATTTCTGGAAAGAGGGTATAGGTTTTGTTCTTTTCCTGTACAGACCCAGTAAATGGCTTGGTAGGTTCAGGCTTTTGACCATGAAGGAGGTTTAACCCTCCAGACTAAACAGTGGGAGGACTGGCTCCTCCTAGAAGGGTTACTGTTTTGGGATGGGCAGAAATTTATCACTGCTTCTGATCACCATACACCAGAGATAGCCCCAGAATCCCTTTCAGCATGGTAGGTTTGGGAAGTAATTAACATTTAAATGTGTACATACAGTGAAATAGTTTATAAACGTAAGTGAGGTGGCTGCATAAATTATATAGAGAAATTGGTTGTAGTATTACACTATAGCCCTAATGAACAGCACACACACACACACACACACACACACACACACACACACACACACGATGAACATTGTTCCCATATGTTCCATACTCAATTAAAGTGTTAATACTAAGCAGTGGTGAACAAAAGAGGCATTTAAAATTAAATTAATTTTTTTGAATTAAAGAAATTGTTTCCTTAATAATTGTGTGAATGCCTATTTTTAGTGTTCTATTTAGCATTTTGACAAACTAATCTTTAGTTATGTTCCCATTCCCAAGTGGTAATTTTCCAAGGCTCTGAAGCCAACAGACTGAGTCAGCCATGATGGTGCCACTGAGCTGCACCCAGATTTGTAAGTTTCAGTTGTCCACAGCAGCAACTGCCTCTTTCTGGTCCTTTTCTCTCTTACAGGGAACCAAATAGTATGATCATTCAAAGCATGCATTAGTGCTTTATTGGCCTTCTTTCCCTCCCTCCCTCCCTCTGCTCCTCCCTCCCTCTTTTTCCGTTGTTCCTTCCTTCCTTCCTTCTTTCTTTTCTTTTCTGAAATGTATGAGTGGTGTGGGAAGAAACTAATCTAAGCTAGAAAATCTTTCCAAATATTTCTCCATCTTCCTTTCCCTCTTCTCTCTCCTCACCTTTCTTCCTTACCTTCTCTACTTATATCTGAGTATGTATCTATACACACATGTGTTTGCATATACATACAGATAGACACATAAACCCACGTTGCATTAAGGAGAGTATTTTTAAGAACTTCAAATAAAACATGTCTGGGTGAACTTCTAAAAGGTTTATTACTATGTTTTAATGATAAAAAAACAAAGATCCATGAATATAAGAAGGCCCACCAGAGCTTTTTATACCATCATTCACTCCATATAGGACTTACTCATTCGTGCAATCATTTAGTCAAAGACTGAAGGTTTAATGTGTGCAAATTAATATTAAAGAATTCTTAGAAAATCAAGAGTTGCCACTAATCATTTGCTATAATATTTAATAAATGATACTTTTTTGGTGTCAGTACTGGGGTTTGAACTCAGGGCCATGCACTCTTACTTGGCTTTTTAAATGAAGGTGGTATTCTACCACTTGAGCCACACCTCCACTTCTACCTTTTTACTGGTTAATTGGACATAACAGTCTCATGGACTTTCTGCCTTGGCTGGCTTCAAAATAATATATTCAGATTTTAGCCTCCTGAGTAGATGGTATTACATGCATGAGCCAACAGTGCCTGGTTAACAACAGGTACTTTACTGGTACTGGTACTTTTTTCTATATAGTTCAAAATTATTTTCTTAAATACAAGTGCATTTACTCAGAAGTGAAGATTCATAGAATATATTATTTAGAAACATGCTTGAGACCAGTGTGGTGGTGCATGCTTATAATCCCAGATACTTGGGATGCAGAGGTAAGAGGTTTGGAGTCTGGGGACAATCCAGGCAAGAACATAAGACCCTACATGAAACAAAACAAAATACACAACAAGCCAAAGGACTGGGGTCATGGCTCAAGTGGTAGAGCTCTTGTCTAACAAACATGAGGATGTAATTTTAATCATTATCCCATAAAAATAAAATAATAAAATGAAACTAAACCATGCATGGGTAAGAAATATTCATAAGAAAACATTCATAAGAAATATTCATAAGAGATAAACCAACATTGAAACACACAAAGAATTTATAAAAGCTGAATGTGCTTTCTTTTTCAAATGAGGCCATTGGGAAAGTACTTTAATACATTAACCCCTGTTCAACATGTTTTTGGATCTGACTCCAGAATCTTCTGACAGACAAGTCCTAGTCCTCTGAGACTGGATTGAACCTCTTTAGTGCACACAGACAGAACAGCTGGGTGAAAGTGGTGAATACAAAACTCCAGATGCATATTAGCTGTCCCACTACTTGGATTTGTGAATCCTCAAGACAGAACTCTAATCTCTCCAAGAAATGAGATCAGTGGCTACAAATCTTTTTTAATTCCAATTTTTTTAAAGTTGTGTGTGCTTTTGTTTCTTTTTTAATACCCAGAATTTCCACATGGTAAGAGTACTTTTGGTACCAATTGATTGAGAAAATGCTTATTCTTGCATAGCTTTGTCTGTGCAATGACTCAGCTACCCTCAGAGGCAAGCGACTACTAGATACCAGATGCTAGATAAATAGACCGTACAATTTGTGACCAAGTTACTGCAGAATAAATAAATGTACTTATGGAGCACATTGTCTAAAGCATGAATAAGAAAAATATCTTTAGGCTGACTCACAAAGAAAAAAATAGAAAAAAAAGAACCAAGGACTACACACAGATTAAATACAATAATCAAACGCTACTCATTTCTCTTCATTAGAAAATTAGGCACTACTACCTTTTGTCACGCATACTTAAGCTTATGATCCTCTATCTCATCCACATATTTAGAGAAGTACTAGTGACTATGTATTTGAACAGTACTATTAAAAAAATCACGATGTTAAAATCTTTGAAAACATTAAAAAATCATAAGAAGTTTAAAAAATAAGGTACTGATGGCCCATTCTATTTATAAAATGTATAGATATTTGGTACTCACATATAGAAATACAATTGATTTATACATTCAATGACAATATTAGATTTAATTAATATTTTGATAGTCATTTTGTAGACTCTTTGTAAACAATCATGTAATTCACAAATATATATATATATATATATATATATATATATATATATATATATATTTGAAGTCCTCAGTATTAGAGGAAGAGCACACAATATTTTACCAGTGAATAGAATGTAAACCATGGAGTTTTTGAACAATTTCTTTTTTCTTTTGGTTGGTCATGGGGCTTGAACTCGGCTTGGGCACTATCCCTCAGCTCTTCAGCTCAAGGCAAGCTCTCTACTGCTTGAGCCACCGTGCCACTTCTGGCTTTTTCCTAGTGGTTTATTGGAGATAAGAGTCTACGGACTTTCCTGCCTGAGCTGGCTTTGAACTGCGATCCTCAGATCTCAGCATCTTGAGTAGCTAAGATTACAGGCATAAGCCACCGGTATCTGACAACAATTTCATTTTTTATTCTTAATATGCTGGGGTTTTTTCCCCCAAGAATTGATGTTAAATGCTTTTGAGGGCTTTTACATCCATTATCAAAAACATACTATGCAAAATTTCACTATTCTATTGTTTTTGGATATGGTGTTCTAGATGTGGTTATTTAGATCTATCTCATATTAATATTCTGTTTATTTCTTAGAATAAATGATAAGAAAAGAATTCAAATTTCCAACCATGAGTGTATATCTATTTTATTTTTGATTTACCTGTGTTGAAACTTTTAAATACTCATGTATATGATTTTTGAAACTTTTATTAGGTACAGACACATTTATAATTTGTATGTCTTCAGATAAATACTAATACAAATATATGTACTCAACAGAGTCTGATGAATTAACAAAACTTTTTGTCTTGAAGTCTATTAAAGAAGATAAAGTCACTCTCGTTAGTGTCTGCATATTACATCTTGTTCTAGCTTTCATTTTTCAGCTCATGTCTTTATTTCATGAAGTATTGCCTATAAAACTGAAGTATGTTCATTTCTAGTCTAATAATAAAATCCCATTTGAATCTTTCTGTAATGGTAAGAATCCTTGTGTAGTGTTATCCTATTAATTCCCATTAGAAATTCTGCATAACTAACATTATTTTCTTATCCCACAGTGGCACACTGTACACATACTCAGGCTCTTAACAGAATATAGCATATGTTATATCAGTAAGGTTAAATTGGTAGGATCTGAGAATAGAATCTTGAACTTCCAAAATACATAACAGCATATTTAATTTGAATTTATTTTTTGATTATTTCTTAGGATACTCATATTAGAACTGCATCTGCATTTTCTTAAGAGACTCCCCTTTTCTACTAAAGACGTTAAGGGAAATGGGTCTGGAAATTAAAGAAATACTGTACTTGGTGGCAAGTGAGTGAATCACTGTACAGAAAATGCAAAAGGTTAGCACTGGGAAAACCTTTGGCACTTATCAAGTATTCTGGGCAAGTGAAACTAACATGTTTTGCATAATGATAGGTTTTGAACAACTACTATCCACAATTCATGGTGGAGCCATGAAAAAGACTAAAGGTACATGAAAAAATATCTTCTCTTAGTGAGACTCTAATTGTATTGTATATTTTCCCCTGGCTCTGCTCTCCACCATCTTTCTGACAGTGGAATGCATCCATAGGTTCACTTGACATCTAGCTTTCTCTTGGTTTGGGGCAGTGGTAAATATCAACAGGGGTATCTGAAGAAAGGAGGAGAGGAAAACTCTGGATATTTATCTCTTTTACTCTCATGCTATAGTACCATTAGAGGCTGACTACATTTATCTCCTTAAGGTCAAGGCTCTTATAGATAATCTTCATCCTATATTTGCTTTTCTCATGGCTCAAGTTAAATAATTTCCTCCTCTTGAATCTATAGGCCTTGGGATGGAAACAGACCTCATGCTTACCAGCCCCATGACACTGGGCTGTCTTTATAGTTTTCCTCATGTTGTATGTACACCTTCACAGAGGTGTTTCATAAAGACTTTTATTAAAGTGTGTTTAAGCTATAAGAGTGTGTCATTGTTTTCCTGTAGGAACCTGAGTGACACAAAAATCTGGTAAGCGAATATCAACAATATAATCCAACAATATAATAATTTACTGTATAATCAAAATAATCAATAACAATATAAGGTATTATAACAACCATACATATGATACAGACCGTAATGCAATTTTCTGAATAAACAAAGGGGAAAGAAACATTTCCAAGGTTGTGTTCTTACCAGATGGTGTTCTAGAGAAGATGCAACTGAATATTCATTAAAACAATTAATTAATTAACTAATTTATTCATTAGAAAATACTTAAAAGACTATAAAAGAGAGACAAATGATGAGGAGGCATGGAAAAAATGTGTGGAAGTGGTGGTGGGAAGATGTGCCATATCTATTCAGATCCAATCTTGCCAGGCTAGGATTTCATGAAGACACATACTCCTGAGCACATTAACACTTCTTTGAAATCTCTTTTATTCTAAGAGATTCTTCCTACTCAGGCAAGGAGATGTGAAGAGTGGTGCAGGTGACAACACTGGGATAACTATCAGTTCCTGAATATCACTGTATTACCACCAGACTGCTTGTTCTGTAACTATGGCAACATGCCACAACTGAGAATCAATTCTGAATGGCATCAAACATTGAAGTTTATATTTTCATGTATTTCAGAATCTTCTTCACTACAGGATATTGTAAACTTTGAGGATATTGTAAACTGAGTTCCAGCCACAAGAAATCTAATTCAGTAATTATATGAAGGGACATGAACACTCCACAGTTCTTTTCTCTAAATGAGATTCTATTTGATTCGGATACCAAACATATCTGGAGAAAGAGTTTGTGGACTATTATCATCATTAAAGGGTTTTAGTCTGAACAGTGAATTAAGGATTAATTGGCCTTGGGAATAAGATAGCCTGGATGTGGAATGTAGATAAAAAGAGGATCTTAAAGCTCAAATCCATGGGACTGAGCAACTGGCCTGAAAGGAGAGAAAGAAAGGAAATTAAAGAAGGGAAGATAAGCAAGGTAGAGAGGGGGCAGGTACTAACTGAGCTTCATGGTATAGTAGTCATGTCAGCAAAGCTTTGTTTATTATTTGTTTTTAAGACAAGGTCTTACTTTGTAGCTTAGTCTGGCAATAAATTCATAATCTTGCCTTAGCCTCTGCTCAGTTAGGATTATAGGGATGTACCAACATGCTCAGCTAAGGTTTTCTTTTTACTTTTGACATTTTATTTTATTATTTTTTTAAAAAGCAGACCAAGCAAGTTTATTTGAAAGCGAAACAGACAATACAGACTCTCAATGGAGAGGGGCCCAAAGATGGAAGTCCCTGACATTCTAGTTTTTTTTTTTTAAGTAGAGTCTAGTTCTCCTCATCTTCAATAAGGATCACTCTTATTGACTCATTTCTAGTAAACTGAAATGGGGAAAGGCAATACAGTGTGAATTTAGATTAGAAAAGGTAAAGACTTTCTTCTGTTTCTCTTGGGGGTAATTGCTTTGGAGTCCAGAACTGTTACAAAGTCTAATTCCTGGGATTTCCTCCTCCATTTGGGTGAAGAATCACAACTGTTCCCACCCTTCACTATTTGAGACTTCCCAAAGCAAGTATCAGGCAAATGAGTAAAGAAGACTTTGAGATCATCCCAACTGTTATTGAAATGCAAACTCATAAGAGATCTTGAATCAAAACCAACCAGCTATACAGAGCTGGATTTCTGTTTTATATGACATATTTGAAATTATGGTTATTATTGTAAGCTACTGTTTAGTTATATAGGAACAGTATCTAATATATACCTCTAGTATACATGGCAAAGTAAATGACAACTCTGATTTTATGCTCATAGGAAGTTTGGAAATTATCCTTTCATTTCACTCACATAGGGGATTTTTAAAGACAATCTCATCAGCTTTTTAATTTTAAGTGTCTTTTGCTGTATCACAACATATTGCAATAAAAATAAGTGAATCAACAGCTCATAATTTTAATTTCAAAATCAGATTATTAAATAATTATCAACAAGCTTCTAAACCCTTAGTTCTAGGGAGAGCATGATACTTTCTTTAATACTTTGCATGAAAATACTAATGCCTATAAAAAATACTGCATAATTAAAATTAACTCATTCTCAAATCAAATTTGTTCCCCCTTAAGAACAGCAAATCAAATTATGAGTCTGTCAAATCAATTCACTATGCAAGCAGGATGATGACAGCCTTCTGAGGATTGATTTTCTTTTATCTCTAAGCTTTTCTTTAACTGTATTTATCTAGTTGAGATTTTTCATATATATATATATATGAAATATATATTATATAATCTCAGCCAGTCAAATTCAGAACTAATCTATTTTTAGATGCTTTTTAAATGGTAAAGCTGAGGGTATATTATAGATATGAGAAGAAAATAATGACTGGGAAAAGAAAAATGAGCTGATAATCATGTGTACTGGTTTCAGTAGGTCTCACCTTCTTGAACCCAGAATATATGATGAGTGGAATTCATGGGGCTCTGTGTTCACAAAGACCACAATCCTCACAAGGACACTTCCGAGAATTCTTTCTCCTGTACTCTAGACACTTGAAGAGGGGTTGAGGGTACACTTAAGAGGCAAACATGTGCTTGCATATAGGCATCCCTGTGTTTGATCCCCACCACTCCATACATGAATGAACAACTTTCTTTTTTAAAAAAGAAGGTCTCAGAGGGAATGCAAATGAGTCAGAGTAGTATTTGGAGATGTCTTAGGGAGAAGTAATGTCCCCTCCATTACCTTTCCCACTAGGGCCACTCTAGTACAATTCAAGTAAATTTTCTTTGTGTCTGCTATTACAATGTATATATTAGTATTTTGACTATGAACATTCTTCCTGCAAACTGTGAATGTATACCTCGTCAAATAAAGCACCATGGCAACCATGCTTTAAAGAAGAGGGTAATTACATTATATTCTAGTTATTCCCCAAATGACTTCCAAGAGTTCTGGATCAGACATGTTCAATGCCTTAGCTAGGATTCTTCAGGAGTCCAGGAGAGGAATTCAGAATGGTAAAATGGAGTACAGTAATATATATTACATCTACTTTTTTAAGTTTATTAAAAAATTCATAAGTAGAAGAAATTAAGCTTCACCAATATTTTTCATATATAAGCTGGCATTGTGACCCCCATACTCTGTCAGACAGTAACTTGTCATCTATGCAGGACCTACATATCTCTGTGAAGGATTTTTGTGGCACAACAATGATTAAAATCCAGAATCACTATGGAGTCAGCTTGGTTTTAAATTAAATCTCCAAATTTATAAAGTCTTAACTGTTATTTCAAAATAGTTTTGTTTAAATCCGCTTTAAAATGTTACTAAGTAAAAGAAACAATTGTTTTTATACTAGGATACAAATTGGCTACAATGATCACCTCATCTTAAATACTGTGTGTTCTATAGTTTATAGTGTAATAGTAGGACCTAGTGCTCCTGTGATTTTTACTGATAGTATAAATAGTCAAACAAGTTTGGGGAGCAAGAAGAAAATAGCAGATTATTGAATAACCCTTTCTGTGTCTCCTCAGACTAAGTAGAGGTATGTGCCCTAAGAAGAAAGTAATCTTAAGAAAGGTTGCTAGAGAAAATATAGACAGGTAGACACTAGAAGAAATTAAAGTTACTGAATATTAAATAACTTATCAGACAGAGTAGGAAAGCCCTCTCCATAGTGGGATGGAAGCCCCATCCCAGACATTTTTTGTGGTTTTTATTTTTGTTCTCCACCCATTCTTCCTTCTCTACTTCTTTTCTGGCAAGAAACATCCATGAAAAACTGGCAGAAGAGTGGAATCAGACAGAAAAACAGAAAGCCTGTCTTAGGGAAAAGGTAGAATCAAGAACAGATATAGCTGTGTCCCTCTACTCACAGTAGTGACAAGGTGTCTCTGAGATTGCCATACCAGTCTTCTTAAACCAAGAGCTGAATGCACAGACCCAAAAGAGGATGCCAGCTAAGCGACTACAGAAAATGAGTCACACACCTAATTCTTCAGTGGGTGAGTATAATGGAACAGGAATAGTGAATTTCTCCACACTGGAGCATGGGACAAACATTTCATTTTTTTATAATCTACTTTACCTCTAGTAATAATGTTGATGCCAACCCAGTGGGTATAAGTGCATGGGCTTGGGAGAAATCTTCAGTGGCAGAATAAAATGCCATGTGCTTACTCCTGAAAGGCTGAAGCTAACTGGCAGACTCCTACACGCCTAATGCAAAAGCGTAGGGTTGGAAACAAATGGCACTCTTCATAATTTAAAGCACTTCATTCTTAGGAGGGCTGCTCAGCACAACCAAGCATGTGGAAATGCATGGTCTTGTGGGCAATTCTGCAGCAGCGTAAAATCCTACATGGATGACTGATGACTTGTGTACAAGCAGGTGTTCCTCCCCCTCCCCAGTATGCAGGAGAGAAACAGTCTTAGGATTTGTGCTGTATGCTACCTTATCCCTCAGGCTCTGAGCAGGGCAAAATACAGGTTTCAAAAGAAGTAGACGGCTTTCTCTGCCACTAGCTGGGCTTTACCTGTTCAAACCAGAGCAGGAACTAAGATTGGAAGAGTGGATCTATTCTGATGATACAGGACAGCTGTCAGTTACTCTTCCCTTCAACGAAGAAGAAAAGCTGATATTTTTTTCTTTTCTTTCACTGGTAGTTTATTTTCTCCTTTCCTTACTCTATTACTCTTATCTTTTTTTACCTCTTTGAAATCTCTGATGTTACCTACCTAACTTCTCCATTATAAATGAACTATAAATCTGCACATGAGTATATTAGGTATCTGCAATTATCACATTCTGCTTCCCTTCGTCCCTTCTTTTTAGCTCTGTGTCTCTTCTTTCACCCTTCCTACTCTTAAAATCTAAGTTCTAACACCTAACATGTTCTGACATGTAGTGTGGTTTTACACAAAAACTCTAGCCTTCTGCAAATATAATGTGACTGTATCTATAGCTAGTCTTACCAATATCTTACTGTCTGTAACTATCTAGTTAGGCTTTGTATTGGTGAGTTTAGTAGACTGCGATACAATCCCATGCTAGCAAAAAGAAACAACACAAACCCAGCTAACATCAAGTCCTAAACCCAGATTTCAGATGACTAAAAACCCAAACCACAAATTGTTTTTAATTGAATAAATGGCAACAGAGAAATGCAAGAAATATAAGAAAGAACAGAAACACAACATGCTCCTAACCAAAAGTTACACAATAAAGGATCAAAATGAGAGTGAAGTGGCAGAAACTCCATATAGGGAACTCAAAGAATAAGGGTAAGAACATTCAGAGAAATTAAACAGAACATTTATAAGCAACTAGACAAATTCAAAGAGAACACAAGCAAACAATGATAGGAATTTAGTGAGAATATGGATGAAAAGCTAAATGAATCCTAAGTAAATACAAATAAAGTTAAATAAAAAGAATTCAGATAAACAGATAAAAGAGTTTAACCCACACACACTCTCTCTCTCTTTCTCATAATGTAATACAACACTCCAAACTCAAATGAACAAATAATGTAGTGTGATACTTTCATCAATGGAAAAGTAAGAATCACATGATAATATTAATACATGCAGAAAAGACTTTTGACAACATCCTTTTATGATAAAAAGCTCTGGAGAAGTTAGGAATGTACAGAACATTCCTCAACATGATAAAAGTTGATTGAAAGGAATAACATTGATCAAGACACACTGTATTCATAAACTATTGTTGAATAGCAACTCTGTTGTACAACTACCTACAGATAATAAAAATATTCAAAAGTAAGATAAGATAAAATAAGTAAAACCTTTTTATGACAAACTTACAACCACCATTACACTTAGTGGTAAAACTAAAACCATTTCCTCTAAAATCAGGAACAAGACAAGAATGTCCACTTTCTCTACTCCTCTTCAGCAGAGTATTGGAATTCCTAGCAAGAGCAATCAGGCAAAAGAAAGACATAAAAGGATCCAAGTAGGAAAAGAAGAAGTACAGCTATCCTTATTTGCAGATGATATAATCTTATATTCACAGGATCCTAGAGATTCCATCCCCAAGCTCCTAGAGCTGTCTAAAATTTTTGGCAAAGTAGCAAGGTATAAATCAATGCATGAAAATCAGTAGCTTTTCTGTATACCAACAATGAGAAGGTCAAGATTATAATCAGAAAAGAAACTCCATTTGCAAGTGTCTCAAAAAGTTACCTAGAAATTAGCCTAACCAAGGATGTGAAGGAACTCTACAATGAAAACTATAAAATCTTGAAGAAGGAAATTTGAAGAAGACACAGGAAGTGGAAGACATTCCATGACACTGGATTAGCAGCATTAGTATTGTGAAAATAGTACTGCATCCCAAAGCAATCTAAAAATTCACTGCAATACTCATCAAAATCCCAACAACATCATCCTTTAATGAGATAGAAAAAACTCCCAAAATTTATATGGAACCACAAAAGGCCCCAAATTGCAAAGTAAATGTAGTGCTGGAATTATAACAATTCCAAACTACAAACTCTGCTACAGAGGTATAGTAAAGAAAATAGCTTGGTACTGGCACAAAAACAGGCTTGAGGACAAATGGAACAGATAAAAGACCCACAAATAAATCCATAGATACACAGTCATCTAATACTCAAAAGGGAGCAAAAAACCCCACAGGCTGGAAGAAAGAGAGCCTCTTCAACAACTGACACTGGAAAACTGGACATCTACATTCAGAAAACTGAAATTGCATTCCTGTCTCAATTCAAAATCAATTGAAGACTTCAATGTAAGACTTCAAATTATGAAAACATTACAGGAAGAAGTAGGGGAAATATTAGAACTCCTTGACACAGGCAAGAATTTTCTGAGTAAAGATCCAGAAACACAGCAAATCAAAGAAAGGCTTCACAGATGAGATTGCATCAAACTAAGTTTCTACATGGCAAAGGACCCAGTTAACAAGCTAAAAAGACAGCTATAGAATGGGAGAAGATTTGTGCCAGCTATAAATTTATTGCAGAGAGCTTAAGAAACTAAGCAATAAAAGAATAAACTAACCAATTAACAGGTGGGTAAATGAGCTAAAGAAGTACAAATGGTCATCAGACACATGGAGAAATGTTCAACATCTCTGGCCATAAAAGAAATGCAAATCAAAACAACACTGAGATCCTATTTCACCCAGGTTAGAACGGCCTTCATCAAGAATATAAACAGTAACAGGTGCTGGTGCAAATGTGGGTAAGGGATCTCTCCTATTTTTTGGTGTTTAACCCCTTTGGAAAGCAGTTTGGAGATTCCTCAAAAAACTAAACATAAAAATACCCTATGATACAGCAATCCCACTTTTGGGGATTTATCCAAAAGATAACAAACCAGGATAACAGTAAAGCCACCTGCACAAACATGTTCATTGCAGCACTGTTCACAATAGACCAGACATGGAATCAGACTAATTGCCCCTCAATGGATGAATGGATCAAAAAAAATTAGTATATAAACACAGTGGAATTTTAGCAATACATTAGAAAGAATTGTATTGCATCCTGTATAGAAATAGAAAGACCTGAAAAAATCATGTTAAGTGAAGACAGGTCCAGAGAGACTAAGGATATATTTTTCTCTCATACAGAACCTAGAATTAATGTATAAATATGTAAGTAAACACTTCATGGTGGTCTACAACTGTATACCACTGTATTAACGGAAATATGGTAGATGCAGGGGAGAACTCAAAGGATATAATTTCTTAGAAAGATGAACTCACAGTCAAAATGAACAGCTGGAGACTGGTACTTGAAAAGAAGTGGATGGGATCAAGGTGGGTGTAGATGAATAAAAAGGGAGGGAGAGGAGCATGCAGTTGTAAAATTCAATGCAAATCCTAAAATTAAGAAAACCGAAAACAGTGGTGAGTTGGGAGGGATAGGGAAGAAGGATGAAGGGCTGGCATTGATCAAGATGCACTGTATTCATAAACTTCTTCATTGAATGGCAATACTTTGTACAAGTGAAGATAAAAATATATTAGAAAAATAGTGACTATGTCCTGAGAAATGCAAAATGAATATTATTAATGTAAAATTTGGGGTTTCAAATAATTAAAGCATATAATAAGTTTGTAAATATTAATGAAATTAATATTAATAGAATTTTTAAAAATCAAAAAAAAGAAATAAAACCTTTGTATCCTGTGAGACCATAATGTAACAAATGTAACAACACTAGAGATCAACAGTAAAAGAGGCTACAGAAAATATTCAAACTCATGGAGGCAGAATAACACACTGTTGAATGATGAGTGGGGTCATTGGGAGGATCAGAAGGGAAACACAAAAGTTCTTACTATCCAATTAAAATGAAAAGACAACCTATCACAACCTTTGGGATACAATAAAGAAAGGGCTTAGAGGAATGCTTATAGCTGTGATTGCCTACATCAACAAAACAGAGATCTCAAATTAATACCCCTGTGATGCATCTTAATCTCCTTGAAGAAACAAGAACTAGCCAAACCCAACACGAAATGAAATAATAAAGATTAGGCCAGAAATCAATGGAATAAAGACTTAAAAGCTCTGAAAAGAATCAATGAAAAGTTCTTCAAAAAAGCAAATAAAATTTATAAGCTAACTAAAAATGGAAAGGAAAGACCCAAATAAATAGGAGATGGAAATGTGTCTAGCACAGTGAATAAAAGGGAAATCAGAAGATGGAGAAGGAATATTTTGACAGCTTTTATTCAAATAACCTGGAAAATCTAATAGAAACAGACACATTTCTTCATAACCTGAACCTACCAAAACTGAACCAAAAGGTTATAAATCACTTAAATAGAACATGACAAGTAATGAAGCTGAAATAACAGTAAAGAATTTCACCCCACCAAAAAAATCCAGGACCCAAAGAATTCACAGTTGAATTCTTTTTTTTTTAATTGTGAAAATACTGTACAGACACAGTTGAATTCTATAAGACCTTTAAAGAAAAACAAATACTAATACTCCTCAAACTTTTCCATGAAATATAAAGAGAAAGATCACCACAAAACTTTCTATGAAGCCTAGTATTAAATGCGTTCTAAAACTTGGCGTGTCAAAACAAAGGAGATCTTTACACTAATCTCTTTGATGAACGAAAACACAGAAGTCCTAAAATAAATCACTTATTAACTAAACTCAA